GCTGAAGCTTACAAGGTCTGCTTGAAGCACGTGCCTGTGAGGAGGGGTAAAAAGAGGACCACTCTAGAAAGAGAACGCAGATGACTGTACAGGAGAAGGAAAAAAATAAAGGAAATACTTCGGCAGACACAACTATCACAAGCAAGGAAAATAAGCCTAAGCAGGGAGATCGAAGAAATAGAACAAACGTTGAAGCGATCATACGAGTCTGAGGAAATGGAATTGGAACAGAAAGCTATACAAGAGATAAGGAAAAATCCGAAATATTTTTTCACGTACACAAAATCAAAATCAAAAACCTCGACCAGTATTGGACCGTTAATTACAAATGAAGGTACGTACACAGAGGACAACAAAGAGATTAGTGAAATTCTAAGAAGCCAGTATGAGGCTATGTTTAGCACACCAATAAACAATATGAAAGTTGATGACCCAGACAGCTTCTTTATGAATGACATTCAAGCTGCAGATAATATAACGGATATTACCACAAACTCGGAAGATTTTGAAAGAGAAATTGACAATATGCCTATGCACTCGGCTCCTGGGCTGGATTCATAGAATTCAATATCCATAAAGAAGTTTAAAGTACCAGTAGCGAGAGCACTCAGCGTAATATGGAGAAAGAGCCTGGATAGGGGAGATACCAGCAGCACTTAAATCTGCAGATATAGCTCCATTGCACAAGGGGGGGAGTAAAGCCTTGGCAAAAAATTATAGGCTAGTTGCACTAACATCACACATAATAAAAGTGTTTGAAAGAGTGATTAGGAATCAAATTTCTAGTTTTATGGAAAACAATGAATTGCACAACCCAGGACAACATGGATTTAGAGCGGGAAGATCCTGTCTGTCCCAGTTACTCAACCACTATGACAAAATCACAGAAGCCCTAGAAGAAAAGCAAAATGCAGATGTTGTATACACAGACTTTGCAAAGGCGTTCGACAAATGTGACCATGGGGTGATAGCTCACAAAATGAGGTCAGTGGGAATAACTGGAAAAGTAGGACGCTGGATACTCAATTTCTTGTCGAACAGAACACAAAGAGTAACAGTCAATCAGATAAAATCAGTCCAAGCGATGTTAAAAGCTCTGTACCTCAAGGTACAGTCCTTGCACCGCTACTGTTCCTTATTCTCATATCTGATATAGACAAAAATACACGTCACAGCTTCGTGTCGTCCTTTGCAGATGACACAAAAATCAGCATGAAAATTACCTCTGCTGAAGACATTGAAAAACTACAAGCAGATGTCAACAAAGTTTTCAATTGGACAGCAGAAAACAACATGATGTTTAACAGTGATAAATTTCAGGTACTCAGGTACGGCAAAAATGAGGATCTGAAACATAATACAGGGTACAAAACACAATCGAATCTTCCCATAGTAGAAAAACAGCATGTCAAGGATTTGGGAATAATGATGTCCGACGATCTAACGTTTAGGGAGCATAACCAAGCAAATATTGCGTCAGCCAGAAAAATGATCGGATGGATTATGAGAACTTTCAAATCCAGGGATCCCGTCACAATGGTTGTACTCTTCAAGTCACTTGTGTTGTCCCGTCTCGAGTACTGCTCAGTACTCACTTCCCCCTTGAGAGCAGGAGAGATTGCTGAAATAGAGGGAATACAGAGAACATATACGGCACGCATAGATGAGATAAAACACCTAAATTATTAGGATCGTCTCAAAGCTCTCCAAATATACTCTCTAGAAAGGAGATGAGAGAGATACCAAATAATATACACATGGAAAATACTGGAGGGCCAGGTCCCAAATCTACACAGTAAAATAACAGCGTACTGGAGTGAACAATATGGAAGAAAATGCAAGATTGAACCAGTGAAGAGCAGAGGTGCCATAGGCACAATCAGAGAGCACTGTATAAACATCAGAGGTCCCCGGTTGTTCAATGTCCTCCCAGCAACTATAAGAAATAATACCGGAACAACCGTGGACATCTTCAAGAGAAAACTGGACTGTTTTCTAAGAGAAGTTCCGGATCAGCGTGGCTGTGGTGGATATGTGGCCCTGCGGGCCACTCCAAGCAACAGCCTGGTGGACCAAACTCTCACAAGTCGAGCCTGGCCTTGGGCCGGGCTTGGGGAGTAGAAGAACTCCCAGAACCCCATCAAGCAGGTATCAAGCATGTTGGCAAGAGGTGCTTGGTTCATCTTTGAAATCCGCTTGGACCCTGGCTCTTAGATTTTTTCGCCTTTTTGTCCTTTGCTGTTTGTAGAGTTGTGGTGGTGTAGTATCTACAGGCAGCTTCTTCCAGTTGTCGTCCTATTTTGGACTTGTTGGTTCTCCGGTTCCGAAATGGGACTGCGCAGCTCTGAGGTTCATTCTGGACTTGTCCCGTCTGAACTCATGCATTTATTGTCCCTTGTTTTGAGTGACTACTCTGTCCCAGGTCCGTCTTATTTTGAAGTCGGGCGCTTGGATGGTATCCCTGGACCTCCAGGAAGCGTGTTGGCATGTTCCAATTCATCTGGGGTTCAGGGACTGGCTCGGTTTTGTTGTGGGGCGTCAAGGTTACTGCTTTTGTTGCCTTCCATTCGGCTAGAATCTGGCTCCTCGCATTTTCACATGCCTTAATCCGGGTCATGGTGGCCCGCCTGCGTCTCTTAGGGGTTCGGGTTCTGGCCTTCATTCAAGATTGGTTGGTGTGGGCTCCCAGCCAGGCCACATGTCTACTTGCCAGGGATTTGGTTCTTTCCCAGCTTGCTGGGTTTGGGTTCTTGATGAGCTGGAGGAAGCCCCCCATCTGGTTCCCTCTCAGGTTCAGTCTTGGCTGGGTCTTGTGTGGGACTCTCAGACTACTTCCTTGTGGCTCCCTCTGGAGTCTCTGCTTCAGCTGCAGTCCTACCTTTGCCTGTTTCTGTGGGGCTCCCGGGTCACACAGCAGTTGCTCAAGGGGTTTGTGAGGGAGGCTGAACTCTGCCATGATGGTCTACCTGCCGGGTCGGGTTTGGCTTCGTCAGCTGCTCTGGTTCCTTCGAGGACATCCCTTCTTCCTCTCTCACGATCGCTGGGTTTGGTCTCCAGGGGCTTTGCATCGGTTGCTGCATCACCAGCTTCTTCTACGGGGTTTTCGGGGTTCAGTGCTTTGGTGCCTACCTGAGCCCTCGCTTGATGTGTTCACAGACGCGTTGTCTCTTGGTTGGGGCTTTGTGACCGGTGCTCAAGGACTAGGCTCTCCTGGTCCTTTGACCGGGTGCTCTCTTTCCTCTCTTCTTCTCAGTTTGTGGTGGCCCCTTCAGTTCAGGATTGTTTTTCCAAGGCTCTTTCCCTGTTGGCATTGGCCTCTGGAGGTCGGATTGGAAAGCCTCATACTCTCCTCTAGTGCAGGGGTTTCTGCTCTTTTGGTCCTGGTGGTAGGTTTGTTAGGTTGCAGCCATCTCCTTCTTTTCTGGCAATGAATGAGACTGCTGCTTTTTGGAGGGGTCTTTGGGTGGTTGTTGCTTGGCTGGTCAGGCCTTGGGTGCATCATGTCTTGTGTCCTGTTGTGGCTCTCCGCTGTTATTTGCACGCCACGGCTTCGGTGGCTGAGGATGTGCTGTGGGTTGATCCGGTTTCCCTTCTTCCCTATTCCCAGGCTCAAGTCGTCCGCTGGATTATTAAGGCTAGCCCGCCTGCGGTCTATCCTCGTGCCCACGACTTGCATAAGTTTGCTGCTTTGGCTGCCATCTTTAGCAACATGTCTTGGGTTGACATTCGGGCACAGGGTTTTTGGAGGTCGAACAGGGTCCTGGCCACTTGCTACCTTATCAGTGTCCCTGGTCATTGTAAAGCTTACGTTGCATTGGGTCGGCATTTGCAGCCAGTTGTCTTGGCTTCTCGTTGAGGAGTGAGGGCTGATTGCTGCCCTGGTAAGTTCGTTTTACCTTGTCTTTAGGTAGTTAGCTCCCGGGAGCCAACTGGGCTGTCCCCAGAAAACCAGCGTTGACTGTAATGAAACACCATTTTCTGGGCGAGTCCTGGAGGCTCCCGGCATCCTTCCGTCCCTCCAGTCGGCGATGTTTTTTGCGTATTTTGACATCCAGCCTAAGAACTGAAGGGTGGATCACTGGCATGGGAGGTCTGGGGCTCCCCCTTCCCCCTCCCAAGGAAGGGAGGGGGAGGTTGTGCAGACAATGGTGCAGCGATATGATGACATTGTTTGTTTGCTAATTTTCGTTTGGGGAGTTATGTCCACTCTTTCAGCTTTCGGTAGCAATAGGTTCACCAGAATAGGGGTTTGTTTTGGGGCGCCTACCTTTCTGGGTGCCTGATCCAGTCGATGGCAGACATAGAATGCTCCCAACCACATGGGGGGTTTCTATAGGCCATTGCTCCTCGTGTCTTGCTAGAGGGGGCCAGGTTCCTGCTCATGGTCTCCAGTAGGCAAGAACTCCATGCACATTGACTGATGCCAGAAAGTTTTTCATATCTATTCTGCCTGGATAGCTCCGGGAAGCCTCTGGGACTCATCCAGAAAATGGTGTTTCATTAAATTCAACGCTGTCTTTTTTTTCAATATTTAACACTGTTCTATTCACCTGAGCTGGCTATATGTATGTATGGTTTGGGGTGTTTTATTTAACACTGTTGTTTCCATATATTTCCCCAGCATATTTTCCAGCTTTTCCAACTTTTTAACATGTATTTTCTTTGCTGTTTACACTGTTCTGGGGATGACATTTTCTTGCTATGACAACGCTTTGCGCATGTGGAGAACTGACTATTGTACTGGCGGGGATTCCAGATGCCAGTGTTCAACAAGAGTTCGAGACTGTTTTCCAACATTTAACACTGCTGTTTCTATGTCTCTACTGAGTTATACCCTTCATGAAGGTCTCTCTCTTACACCTTTAATCAAATAATATAAACATAAATTGTCACTAACTTTTGACAATATTTTCCAATTTGTGGGTTGGGGGTTCATAACATACTGTATAACATAACTCTATTATAATTGCTAAAATAATAATGTCAAATTGCTTTCTCAGGTGTAAGCTGGTACCACAATGGTTCTCTTGTGCCTGTGGGTGGTTGTGACCAGTGGGCATACCGGCGGGGCCCCAGCCATCACCTGCACGTGTATGACATGAAAGCTGCAGCAGCGGGCGTGTATGCTGCTGCTGCTTATACAGCCACCAATTGTGTGTGGGCATTTTGTAGAGTACAACATAAAGGTATAGTTTTTGTTTATTTTATTGATATATACAAGAGTTCTTACATTCTTGTAAAGCCATTAGCATGCATAGCATTTTGGGCAGGTCTTTAATCCTAATTTTTCCCGGAATACGACCCGCCAAATCGTTGAACAACCAGGTACCCATTCAATGCTGAGTGAACAAAGACTACAGTTAGGGATTGGCGCCTAGTTAATCTTTTCCGGCCAGGATACGAACCCAGGCCAAAGTGCTTGCGAAGCGCTGGGCAAGTGTTTTACCACTGCGCCATGGGGACTATGACCCCCCTGGTGTAGTCCCTATTTGTTATTATCTGCCATATAACCTCAAAAATCTATACTACATATCATTACAAACCCAGTCCAGATGCAGTCTACTCAATCTAAATAAAAAAATAAAAAATAAAATACCACCACAATTGTAAGCAAGTACTATATGAGCAGAGTTATCCGAAGTCCACTGAACTGAATACAGTATCTGGGTCAAAATCAAATTTGAATAATTTTCTGGCAAACTTCCCCATATCCGAACATAAATTTGGATAACCGGTGATTTGGCCAGATAATGCAGACTGGCACAGAGTCTAAGTCAAGTTTGGATAATTTTCTGACAAAAAGTCGCAATATCTGAACAGAAATTTGGATAATCGGAGATTGTTACATAAATTTTCATGAACTACACATTTATTTATTTATTTATTTATATATATACAAGAAGGTACATTGGGATTGTGAGGATACATAGCGTAGTAATTACATTCTTGTAAAGCCACTAGTACGCGCAGTGTTTCGGGCAGAAACATTTCAAGATTTACAATATCACACAAGAAAACAAACTACAACAAGGTAAGCTAAAGTTCCTCTTTTAAATTACTGTCTCCACTCAATCATCCGGACTATATGGGAAGGACCCCCAGCCGGATTATCACGTGTTCTGGATAATGGTACTTTTTCACCTACGAGTCCAAAAGTGACCATTTCCAACTATTTTTATACTACAAACAACATAATTTGAATTGCCTTGCCACATATAATTATTAAATATTCAACTAGAAACCTCAACTTACCTTGTTGGTGTTCGTCTTCTTGATTGATGCTACACATCTTGAAGTTAAGAATTCTTAAAAATTTACGTAACCTATACTAACACAACACTAAAATTAAGACATAAAATTACTGTACAGTTCATTAAGGAAAGTTAGTTTTGACTGCCAGCTGCTGAAGCCTCACTGGTTGAAGGCATTTGGGTTGTCTGTGAGGCCTCACTTGTTGAAGGCGCTTGCTTGCACCTCACTTGAAGGCGCTTGCTTGCGCCTCACTTGAAGGCGCTTGCTTGCGCCTCACTTGAAGGCGCTTGCTTGCGCCTCACTTGAAGGCGCTTGCTTGCGCCTCACTTGAAGGCACTTGGCTTGCTTGTGATGCCTCACTTGTTAAAGGCGCATGCTTGCACCTCACTTGTTGAAAGTGCTTGGCTTGCCTGTGACACCTCACTGGTTGAGGTGTATAACATGTAACTTGTCTTGAATTGCTAGGACAACCTTCTTCCTCTTAACACCTCTAGAAGGATTGATGCTGCTACCAGACATAGTCTTGGCCAAAAATGTTTAAAAAATAAAATAAAAATAAAAAATAAAATGTTTATTCAGGTAAGGGACATATAAGAGATTTTATATAAATTGCTCGATATATAGATGGAGCTAGTACATACAATGCCTAAAGCCACTATTACGCAAAGCGTTTTGGGCAGGAAAAACATTAATGACTAAAAACTTAATACTAATTAAGTATAAAGAATAAAATGTGTTGAGAACAAATAATTTTAAAAATTTTAATAACAAATAATTTGATCTTAAACTGGTTGAGAAAGGTACAGTCTTTAACATGGTTGGGAAGGTCATTCCACATTCTGGGTCCCTTGATTTGTAGAGCATTTCTAGTTTGATTAAGTCGTACTCTTGGAATATCAAAACTGAATTTATTTCTGGTGTGGTGCTCATGGGTTCTGTTACAACCTTCAATGAAGCTTTTGAGGTCAGGATTGGCATTACAGTTCAGCGTTTTATATATGTATAATACACATGAGAGAATGTGCAGTGACTTAACACTTTTGTGCACCCCGCGCGCCACCCCTCAACTGTGCGATATGGGACCCAGGGTGTCACGGGAGCGCGCGTAAATTCTGAAAAGTGTATACTCTCTTCAACTTTGTCACCTTAATTCTCGTCCTACGAGATTAAATTTGGTATCATTGTGTTCGCAATAGAATTCTCTACAGCACTAAATGCATATAAACTCCAAACGCCCGGCTAATTACCCGCAGCAAACAGAGAAAGTGCAAACGAGTTACCCAGGAGCGCACAAACGCGATAAAATGTTTTCACTATTTTCACTCTGGTCACCTCAATTTTTGTCCTAGGTCTTTCATTTTGGTCTCAATGGGTTCGCAATAGAATTCTCTAGAGGAACATTAGCATATAAAATATAAAACATGGTCACGCTCCAACCGCCGACAAGTTGAAGACGGGCCACGCGTTAGCCACGGGTGAGCGCTCAGACACCTTCCAGCTACACTCCCAATTCCCTCCCTTTTCAAGCCTTTCTTTCGCAATTTTCTTCCTGGAAGGGCCTTGTTCATGATCACTATCCATCGTGGAGTAAGGGTAGATAGTTTCTAAAGCCGCAGTAAGAAATATAGCCACGGAAAATAGCCAAAATGTTCACACGTTTGAGATGCGAGGGGAGGCGACATTGGTCACAACAGTGGAGCGAAAACAATGGGCCCACGGCGTGTGCCAAGCCACCTGAGGGCCACGAGGCTCAACAGAGAAAATGGGAAGACATCGGCGCACATTTTAAAACCAGTCCCCAAAAAATCGGATAAAAACCTGATTTTTGGCGATTATTTAAAGTGGATGACGCAATGCTGCGTCATCCACGGTATTACCGACAGTAAACGGATGACGCAATGCTGTGTCATGCCCGGGCGAAAGTGTTTAATATCTAACATATTCAGAGATTTGAGTAGGGGTACTGAGTGATGTCTGGGGCCAGAGTTGGATATTGTCCTAATAGCAGCTTTGTGTTGAGTAATTAGAGGACATAAATGATTTTGGGTAGTAGAACCCCAAGCACAAATGCCATAGTTGAGATATGGATAGATGAGGGAGTAATAGTGTCACCAGGGCATGGCGGGGTACATAATATCTGATCTTAGAAAGTTTGCCAACAGTTTTTGAAACTTTTTTTTTATATATTTAGAATGTGTCCCTGGAAATTCAGCTTGTGGTCAATGAGAATGCCAAGGAATTTGCCATCTAATTTGTTACAAATTTGGGTATTGTTTATTTTGAGATTTATTTGATTAGAGGATTTATTGCCAAACAGAATATAGAAAGTTTTGTCAATGTTAAGGGTGAGTTTGTTGGCCGTTAGCCAAAGATGGACTTTATTTAGCTCAGTATTTACTGTGGTATTTAGAGCAAGGGGGTCAGGACTGGAGTAAATGAAGGTTGTGTCGTCAGCAAATAGAATTGGTTTGAGGTGTTGGGAGGCATTTGGAAGGTCATTAATGTAGATGAGAAAGAGGAGAGGGCCAAGTATGCTGCCCTGAGGAGCACCGATGTTGATGGGTAGGGTGGGAGAAATTGAATTATTCACAGAAACATACTGGAGCCTGTCAGTAAGGTAAGATTTGAGGTACTGCAGGGAGTGTCCTCTGACTCCATAATGATGTAATTTAAGAAGAAGGTTTTGGTGGTTGACAGTGTCAAAAGCCTTATGCAGGTCCACAAATAACCCAACAGGGAACTCATTTTTATCAAAAGCTGCATGAATCAAGTTAATCATACTAATTAGTGCATTGTTAGTGTTTTTTTGGGGTCTGAAGCCATATTGACAAGAGCTAAGTATATTGTGCTTTAGATAAGAGTAAAGCTGCTTGTAGATTAGTTTTTCAAATATTTTTGACAGGTTAGGCAGGATTGATATAGGTCTGAAGTTGTTAACATCTGTGAGATCACCACATTTGTGGACAGGGGTTTCTCTCACTTTTTTTTAGAATATCTGGAAAGGTTTGGAGTTCAAGTGACTTGTTGAAGAGCAATGCAATAGCAGGGGCTAAAGATCTGGAGACTTTTTTTGTAAATTAAAGTTGGTATCTCCTCAAGGGCACTAGACTTGGTTTTAAGGGAAAGGATTATCTCATTGACATCAGTGGAATTAGTAGGCTTTAGGTACAGAGACTGTGGATAGTTACCTGTAAGATAGTCCTTAACATAATTACTAGTACTTATTTCATTTGTTTTTGGCTATGATGAATTGTTCTAAAATTAATGGTAATTCCTGTACCCAGGTAGTCTCTCCCGATGCTCCCCTCCCACCCTCCCGACACCACCCACCCACCCCACCCCCTCCTCCACCATGCGTCTCGAGCCACAAGCAGATGGAATTAATATGGTACGGCCCGCCCCATGGCTCTCATATCCAGATGATTCAATGATTATCCGGCTGACTGTCTGGACAGTGTAACATCGGCAGCAAATTAACCGGCTCCGATTTTTTATCCAGCTAAACCAGCTTTTATCTGGTCCCATGCCCATTTTAGCCGGATATTGAGATAACTTTATACGGTCATGATTTTGGCCATATAAGGACGTTTTCTGGATGTTCGAATCCCGGATAATAGCGTGGTTACAGTATATTTTATTTATAGTGTGTGTAATTACCTAAGTGTAGTTACAGGATGAGAGCTACACTCGTGGTGTCCCGTCTTCCCAGCACTCTGTCATATAACGCTTTGAAACTACTGACGGTCTTGGCCTCCACCACCTTCTCACTTAACTTGTTCCAACCGTCTACCACTCTATTTGCGAAGGTGAATTTTCTTATATTTCTTCGGCATCTGTGTTTAGCTAGTGTAAATCTATGATCTCTTGTTCTTGAAGTGCCAGGTCTCAGGAAATCTTCCCTGTCGATTTTATCAATTCCTGTAACTATTTTGTA